AGAGACACACACACACACACACACACACACACACACACATGAAAAGTCCCGGGGCCCACAGTGGGGTGCCCAGGGCTGCCCTTTGCCCAGCACCCCAGGCTTAAACGCCGCCCTCCTCTCTGGAGCACGTTCTGAAGGGACAGCCGGCTCCCGAGGGCAAGGCAGGGGCCGCGTCCACCCACCACGAGGTCCTCGCCACTGGCATCCACCGGGAACAAGGTCTTCATCAGCTCTGGGTCCTCGCAGAGGTGCTTCAGCTCAAACGCAGCCTGTCTCACGCCCGTGTCCAGGGAGGCAGTGAACTCCAGGGCAAGCGCCTCGACGGTCTTCAAGCGTGGGGCGCGAGAAGCGATTTTGGTGGCTGCCGCCATCACCCAGGCCTTCGTCTCCGGGGTGGCGTTGCTCCTCAGGATCCAACGCAAGCTGGCCAAGAGGGCCTCTGGGTCGGTGTTCTTCATGAGGTAACTGTACTCGCCTATCACCTGTCAGGGAACACAGGAGAACACTCGGCCATCCCGAAAGACTTCGAAAAGGGCCGGCTGAAAATCAAACATGGCGGCAGTTCTGAACTGGCATTTCCGCAAGGGGGAAAACATCACAGGAAAAGGAGAAGAACGGAGAGTGACCTAAACCTCAGAATTAAAAAAAGCTTAGAAGAGCCATCTGTTTGTTTTCTTGTTGGGCTGTCAAATGGTTTTTAAACTTCCCGTTAATCCAACCTTTGCTTTTAATAGGGTAATTTGTTCGGTTTTCAGCAGGACCTGTTTTTATTTCAGAGAGGGAGCCACCAACCTGGGTCCCATGCTGGGAGTAAAAATAAGAGATAAAGCAAGCAGGCTAAACGAAACCAATAGGAAAGCCTTAACGGGCCGGGTGACTCAATGCACAGGACCTCCCAGGGCTTCCAGTTGATTTGCTCCCCTTAAAAAACGGCCACGTCCAGCATTCAGTCCCCCTGGGTTGTAACGGAGCCCCTGCCTGTGCTGGACAAAGGCCACCTTCTCTCTTGTCTTTCTTACCCAACTCATCACCTGAAGAAACCTCTGGGGATACACCGCCTTTTCGTCCTCCAGCAACACAAGGTAAGACTGGACAGCATGAAGTCGGAGCTGGCTGTCTTCCTTCGCATCGTCGAAACCTGGGAAGAAAAGAACAGCCATTTTTTTGTCATTCACTGTCTGATGTTTTGGTGTGCCGTTATCTGCTAAAAACCACGAAACAGCCCCAGTAGATTAAGTGTATGTGTATTTTGCTCACCCTCAGCAAGAAGGCGTAAGAAACTATTTGGGACGTCAGGGTGCATTTTATCTCCTCCTATGGAAAATACGGCATTCATGGTCTGGATGAACCATTCGTTGTCAGGAGCATATGTGCAGAGAACGTTAAAAGAAAAATGCATGGTGGGGGGAGAAAAAACAACACAGTATAAGCTGCCCCCCCCTTTGAACTGCAAGTTCAAAGCCATCTATTCCAACACTCAAGAAGTTAACAGACTAATCAGGGAAGTGATTATTAAAATGAGGCAAAAGAAATAAAGCTGGGGACAACAAGCACAACCTTGCAGACTCCTGCAATTTCTGTTGGTTTCAATTTTCACAAAAGGTGAGTTCAAAGATGTCTCAGAGCTGACAAGGAGCTTTTCGTCCCAATGCAGTTTGATTGTGGTGTGAGCACAATTAAAACCTGGCGCACTCTCCCCCTCCCCTTCCACCAGGTACAGCTCGCAGCATCTACCACCGGGAGGAGAAGGCTTTGGTGCTCCAGGTGTTCTGGGCTACATCCCGCAGAATCCCCCACCATGATCCACGCCGGCTGGAGGGGATGGGAGCTGTAAGCCAAACTACCTGGAAGACCGACGGTTCCTCGCCCTCTGATCTCCAGGTGCTTTGAAACGTGAAGGCTAATCTTCAGGCACTTCCTCCACAGCAGTTCCCCCCCCAGCCCCCCACGGAAAATGTGTGCTATTCCTTGGAACTAGACACTGCCAGGGGCAATCAAAGAACTTCTATAGTGCAAGGCATAAGGGTCAGCAAAATGCAGTTATCCTGACATGACAAATTTTGCTGGAACATCAGAAAAAGCAACAGCCAAATCAAAAACGTGCCCTTAGCATAAGAGGTTGCCAGAGTCTTTTCTCTTTTCCTACAAGAGAACGGAATATTAGAACTTTTAAGAAAAACAGAAGAAACTTCTTCCCTTAAGTCAGATTACAGGCTAAATGGTCCACTGCAGAAACATCTCTGTTTGGACCGATGCAGATATAACTTTTTTTCAGACCAGCACCAGAAATTCAGTAAACCTGGAACATGCCACAACTTTCCCAGATCAATACTGAAATTGTCCACAGTGTATTCTTCCAGCCTAACACATACACTATTTGTTGTGTGTAATGGCAGCCAACACCCTCTGTAATACCCTTCTGCAAGCACCCCAGCAAGACCAGGGGGAAGTGAAACCAAGGTGGAGGATCCCCTACCAACTCTCCTCAGACTAAAGAAACTACTTGGATGGGGAGCGAAACGTTTCAGCCTAATAAGAAAGAAGTCCAGTTGCCATGACTCAACTTCCAGCAAGGATATTTTTCAGCTAATTCTGCTATTTTGCCAACGATGTTGATGATGGTGTATTCTTCCCGGCTTTCAGTGAGATAGTCGAGCATCTTCTGAACAATGACGGTGACGTTCTGTCCATTAGTGATTCTATACAGAAGCTCCAATGTCTGAAGCAGAAGACAAAGGGAAACAAGGATGAACTGCCCACTGGGCGAAAAGCGGCAAAATCGAAAAGGGTTAGAATTGTTGCAAGGCTGGAGGCATCACAAGAGCCTTCTCTAAATACACAATACCAGTTATATGGACTTACCTCCCTCTCAACACAACTTACCTCTCTTTTAACAATGGGGTCAGGATGATGCAGGCATTCGATTATCGTCATCTGATGCTGCAGGGCGAGGGTCGGATCCTGCTGGACCACAGACGTTAGGGCTTTTAATCCTAGAGGGGGTGGGAAAAGAGTCATTTCGGCATTCACAAGCCAAAACCGACGGCGTTCGGCAGCCAACATTCCGCATTGTGACAATGACTTACCTAAATATTTCAAATTAATTTTAGGTGACAAGACAAATTTCCCCACGCATTTGGCCGCCTTCTCAAGTAAATCAGCTTTGGGGTAAATGGTATAAATTGTCTGGACACATTCAAACAAGATGGCTGCAGGGAGAGAAAGAGAACAGTGTAGATGGCATTTCAAATGCAAGTTCCTGTTACAGATGACATGCAGACTTTGTAGATAAATAAACTTGGATGACGCCTAGAACTCATTCTTGAAATTCAGTACTAAAGTCAACCATAAAGCTATCAAATGTGAAAACGATGCGCGGTGGGTAAGGGTTAGGGTTCGATAGTTTGCATTTTTAAGACATCCGTTTGTCTTATCTTTATTACCATATGTAACGTTGTGGTTGATCTCTGCTCTCCTTAACGACTCATCCAAAACATCGTACATTAATTCACTGGCCCTGTTGCAAAGTGATAAAAATGTTTGAGAATACTCAGGAGAAAAAGAGAAAGATTTTGCCTTCTAGACCTGAATCGTGCAAGTGGCTTCAGGCAGCCCAACATCCCACTGGCCCTGTCTTCCCATCGCTGCTGCCGTTCTCTATGTTAGGCAGTCCTACTAAGAATTACCAGCAGCCAGCAAGGTCAGTGCTATCGACAATATTCCTTAGTTTGTCATCATAGAAACCATCCACCTTAAAAAGACTAAAACCGATGGTATGCCCATTCAGAAGAGAGCTTCCAGTGTTTGTGTTGGCCAAGGGTTGGGTGGACGGTGAGGGGAACAAGCTTCTCAGCCCACCCCCCAGACCTTTTTGGAGCAACCTGTTATCAAAAAGCTCTCGTCGGTCAGTCCATGGGAGTTTCACTCCTTAACTAGAACTGAATACCAGAAAACAGCCCGGATGCTCTTTTTATCTCTCTCTCCTATGTCCTGCTTCTGAGAAATTAAACAAGTTTAAACAAAGCAACAGCAGGACAAGTCGGACCACACTGAGTGCTGAAGACAAGCCAGCAAGCTTGCCTTACAGCTCCCCTCCTATTTGTTCCCTTTCCGTCAAAGTTTGTTAACGAAAAAACGACATTGCAGAAATTCTGCGGAGTTCAAGCAAAGACTGGAATGCTTACTTTGGATCATCTTTTCCTAGCAGCCCCAATATTCTTAAAAGCTGGATTTGTAACCAAGGCGCCGGAACACTGTGATAGTTGAAATCGACGGGGAGTTTTCCTCCCACCACTTGCTTGAGAATAGCGACAAAGCTGCCTGTCAAATCCTTGTAACCGGAGGAGTTTTCCTAGACAAAAAGCAAAACATACCATTAAGACATTTCACGACACAGGACTGGAGAAAAACACAAGGTATCGATGTTAAAAGTGTCATCTGTGTGCTATTTATTCATTTAAGTGTGAAACTGTTCTCCTCAATTTTCAACCCCCCAGTTAAATACGGCTGGCACAATGAAACACTAAATAAGAAAAGGACTCTCAATACATGGGCCAGCACCTTGGAATGACATGAAATTCTGTCTGAAATTAAAGAAGGAATCACACATGCTAACACACAGTGTTCGAACTTCATTTTGTGCAAGAAACCTGAGTCCTCATTTGTTCACAAGAATTCTTGTTGACAACAATGAGAAACCATTTTGTTCCTCCTTCTTCTCCAAGCAGAGGGAGAGAGAGATCTTCCGCCTGTCTCGGAGAGCTTTCTCTCCTTAGGGAGAACAAGGTTAGCACAAACTGCAAACCCACAATAGTTTTCGCCTTCTTGCAAGGGCTTTTAGGCGTCAGAAGCCTCAGGCGGGGGTTTTGCCTCTGTTTCACCCATCAGTCAGTGCTGCTCTCTCTGTGTCTGCAGGCTTTGAGTCACAAAGAGAAAAACAAACAAACCCTAGTTTTGTGCAAAGGCGATTTGCACAAATTGCAGAAATCAGAGAGAAAGGCATGGCTTGTCTCTTTCTTACACCAAGAAGAGGCAAGACGTGCTACATAGGTGAGTGATTTTTTTTTCCCAGCAGGATGTCTTCTTGGAGCCCTGAAGCAACAGGTCTCATCAAGAATGAGTCGCTCTGCAAGGAGTCTTCGCAGCCCTTATAATGCACAAGCCCAGTTTCACAGAGTCATCCTGATTTTTAAGTATCTCACCTTCACCATCTGGAGATAAATATGTAACGATGCAGCCATAACGCCCACATCCCGGTCGCACAGCGCCTTGCGGAACTTATCGTGGATGTGCTGAACTTGGTTGGGAGCAATAAGGTAGAATTTGTACAACGCTTGAACGGCTTTTCTTCTAATAATTTCCCTAGAAAGAGACAACGTAGCCCATCACCAACTAAGACCAGCTACAACTGTTGTTATATCCAGATGCATCTTGACCACCAAGTTTATAACAGCTCTTGAAACTCCCATTTTTCTAGCATTGAATAAGCAAAGACATACTTGGGGTGCTGAAGTTTGTCTTCTACTAGCGGAAGGACAGCTGGAATCATTTCCCGTGGAAAGATCTGGCTTGCTACCGTAAGAGCCATGCAGACTTCCATCAGGTTGGTGCTCTGCAGATCCTGCCCCAGGCATGAAAACAAGGCTCGTTATTTTCTCCCTCAAGAAGTTAACCCTCTTTCACCGGTATTACTCATACGCTTCGAAATATTCACATTTTTGCCTCTGTCAGGTAAAACCAAGTTAGGTATCACTTTTTGATAAAATACTTCTGCATGGCTGGCTTCTTTCTACTATCAAAGCATAAAACAGAAAACTTCAATAGACAGAGCTGGAAGCAAATAAAGTCAGAGTGGCATTTTGTTAACATGCTTTTTCCCCTCTCCCTTTTAGCTTCCCAATGTCACTTCTCAAGACTTCTCTCTGCACTAGGATTGCTAAGAAGGAACTACATTTCTGTCAGGCTTAATTAATGATCTACACAAGGAATTTATGGAGATTAAAAAAGGAAAGAGAGGCACTCTCTAGCTGAACCTTACGAAAGGCATTTCAGACTCTTAGAAGAGGAAGGCAGGAACAAAAGTTTGGAAACCAATGGGCAACGGTCTCATACGGGTAAGGAGGCGGCAGCCTAGGAGGGCTGCCTTTGACCCCAGAGCGATCTCTTGGCCTACACCTCCCATCATCCCTGATCACTGCCGATGGTAGTGGGAGTTAGGGGCCAACATTTCTGGAGGAACCAAAGTGGGGAAGGCTACACAGAGCCATGGCGGAGGAAATGACCTACAGATTTATTTATTTATTTATTTGATTTATATCCCGCCCATCTGGTATATTTATACCACGCTGAGCGGCTAACAACAGAGAGGTCACACATACAGGCCTTGGATCCAGAACAAAAAAGGAGTAAGGGGCACCTATTTTAATCAAGGAACAACAGCCCCTCCCCTCACATCACAACAGGATGATGGGCCAGAGAGCCTCTGTGACTTTGAGGAAACGACTTTTCAACCTCTGAAAAGTCCCTCCTCCAGAAAAGGAGGACCAAAATCAGCTGCAACCCTACCATTCTCCAGATTCATGTTCTGATGCTTTTGTTAAGATTCTTCTAACTGATAAATGTTGTTTTATTAATAAATGGATACTTAAAGTTTTGATCTACACTTTAATAAATACAAAGGGCAACCCATGCCTGCCGTTAGTGTGTTTACCTCCAAACTTCCCACAAAAACTGTACCTTCACAACAGTGTTCACAAGTAGAAGCAACAGCTCATGGTTTTCATGAAGAAACAGGGAAACTGCCAAATACCCTAAAATATAAAAAATGGGGGGGGGGAGAGGGAAAAACAGCTATATTCCAATTTTAAATTCCTGAGGCTAAAATGATATTTTGTTCTGACTAGAAAAGTTCCAGTGAAACCATGTGGACTTCTTACTGATTTTCATGAATCTGCTCCAGGTGGGGTTAAGACCAGATGGTCTTCTTGAGATCTTCTTGGGAGCATCTAAGCAGCCATGGCATTAATTGGCTTTTCCAAGATAGTCCTGGGCTCTTAAGACAACCCAAACCCTCTTTGGGCTTTCATGAGCTCTGTACTCTAGAAAATACCTACCCACTCTTTTCTCAAAAAGGTTTCCCTGTTGCGCCAGCTTGATGGCATGGATGTACCCGAAAGAGGCCTCATAACCCAGCATCTCACAGTAGATCAGCCGCACCATACATTCCTTCATCAGCCTCTGAAAAAGGCAAAGAACGAAACCTTACAAGAGCTGGACTGGTGTGGGGGGGGGAATCCCCATGCCTGCCATCCACACCTGCGTCCTCTGGAAGGCCAACAGCCAATCAAAGTAAGTTATTGCAACCATAATACGTATCCCTCACGGCAGTTTTAATTATCTTGTTCATAGATCAGCGCATTTGAACAGTTTTGTGTTTGAGTTTGTTTTTGATTTCACTTACAACCTGCTTTATAACAATTGTAAGCCACTGTGGGCAGTTTTCTGCAGTGCAAAAGCAGGCTAGAAATGTAATAAATATACAATGAAAAGGGTTCACGTCAAGGTCAGTTGTTCTTGTTTTTATTAATTTATCTCGAACCCACTTGACGGTTTCAACAAATATACCAAAGGTTTACGGGACGTGGTGGTGCTGTGGGCTAAACTGCACAAGCCTGTGCTGCAGGGTCAGAAGACCAAGCAGTCGTAAGATCGAATCCACGCGACGGAGTGAGCGCCCGTCACTTGTCCCAGCTCCCGCAAAATTTGGAATTCGAAAGCACGCAAAATGCGAGTAGATAAATAGGGACCACCTCGGTGGGAAGGAAACGGCGTTCCGTGTCTAAGTCGCACTGGCGATGTGACCACGGAAGATTGTCTTCGGACAAAACGCTGGCTCTATGGCTCGGAAACGGGGATGAGCACCGCCCCCTAGAGTCGAACACGACTGGACAAAAATTGTCAAGGGGAACCTTTACCTTTTTTACCTTTACCTTTACTTTGTTCTCTTACTGTTTGTTTCCTGTGGGGGTTACTGACCCTATTTTGAGTGGCCTTCCTGCTTCCTTGGCTTCATCCAATGGGAGGAGGTTTGGGCCACGTGGCCCTTGCCATCCCTTCCGTCCTCACAATTCCATTTCACATTTTCACTTTAAGCTTCTTCAACTCACTCTAAAATTCAGCAACCAGCCACAACCAGGGTAGGAAGGCGCAGCCCGACTGTGGCACTCACTTCTCGGAGGTACTTCTTCATAACATCAAAGTTTAATTTTGTGGCAAGAGATCTGTCCACCGTGAATGCATTTACTCTCTACTTCACAAGTCATTTAACTTTGCATCACGTTCAGGCAAGCCTTCCCTCAGTACCCAGCTACCTGTGTGTGGTTTTTTTAGACAGATTGTTACTGCTTTGACTGGAATTTTAGTACTACGTACTTGTGTTTTCCATTTTTGTGCTCTCCATTTCTCAGAGTGACATTTTAAAAACTTTTGTATACATATTTATCTTTGCCTTAATACTGCCTGTTAATTGATGTAAGATGCCTCCTTATTCATTGTATGTGGGTTTAAATATTGTCTTTTAATGACATTAACCGCCATGGCATGTTCATTGTTTTCATCTTTAAATGTATTGCCTTTCATTGTTGAACTTAGCCTTGGATCCTTTTCAAGGAGAAAGGTGGGGTAAAAATATGTTAAATAAAATAAATAAATATTTTAACTTGCAACTTACTAGAGATGTGGTAGGTGAAGAGACTGTCACTTTTAGACTATTTAATTCCTGTTGAATTAATTTTTCTTCCTCCTAACAAAAGAAAAATCAGCCAAAAATTATTCCTAGTTAAATGTCTCTCTTTTAAGTCTTTTAAGCTACACCCCAATTACAGTACACAGTATTGCTATGAAATCACACAGGAACATTTTTCATCGTGTATAAGATGCAGACTTCAAGCCTGTAAACCATACTTACTGTAAGCCGCCTAGAGTGATCTAATATGATCAGATAGGCGGGATAGAAATAAAATAAATAAATAAAAATAAATAAATAAATACATATAACAATAACAATTTAATGTTTTTAACAAAAAAACATTATTGCACACCTGAGTTGGTCATACCATAGTTCAGACCTCTGAAGTCTTACTGCCTTCCGTGGAAATTGACTTTTAACTCATACCTAAGGCTGCAATTTGACAGTACAGAAATTCCCCATTGCATCAGCGAGACTAAACTTTTGACCAGGCGTAAATATCTTTTCACTGCAACCCATGCCAATGTTAGAAGTGCCAGGGCCCGGTGGTGGGCGAGAGAAGAGCCTGGTGGCCCCCGGAGGTCTGCCCGGTTGGGCCGGGCGCGCGGGGGGGGGCAGAGGACACACTCTGTGCGTGCTCAGAGGCTCCCTCCAAGGCCTCGTTACCTGCTTGGAGGCGAGCATAAAGAGTCACGATTTTCTTATAATGACTGCAAGAGCCCAGCCTGTTTTCAATACATTGAGGGACTAGAAAGGCATCACTGCAAGCTGAAGGTTCCTATGGGGAAGTGAAAAGAGAGGACTTCTTTAATCACACCTGCAGAAACCAAGACAGGGACCTCTGTTTTCCTGTATAAGCCAGCAGAAAAATGGCTTTATGTGTAAGGGATATGCTGGAGGTGATTGGAAATACAGTAGGAACCCCGTATTCACAGGATCAGTATCCACTGATTCATTTATCCATGGTCTGAAAAACACTGAAAATATTAAAACAAAAATGCGGCCTCGAGTAGGGGGAGCGCCCGGGGAGGAAGCGGGAGGGCGGGAGCCCCGCTCATAAAGATCTTGGGTCACAATAAAGCTTCTCTTTTCACACATCACTCATCGGGCCGGTTGCGAAAAGGATGCGGGATCGTGCGTGTATATGTGTGTGTGGGTTGGATCTGGTCTGGTCAATTTTCAGCTGGCCTTTCCCCTCTCCCCCCCCCCTCCGTTGGCCTCCCGTTCCTTTTATTCTCCCCTTCCCTGGTGAAGGAAAGGGGGGGGGGAGGCTGGCTTTCCTCCTCGTTGGGTGACTCAGAACAACCCTGCGAGGTGGGTGAGGATGAACCAGGAATTTGGGACGCTGGACGACCCCCCCCCCGGGCGCCCGCTTGACACCAGACTCTCCCCAGCCCCAGAGCAACTCATGTTTTGTTTTGTTTTGTTTTGTTTCAGTGCCATCTTTCTCCCACAAAGGGAGTTAAGGCCTTCACAGTCATTAAAATACAAGTAAAGCTAAAGGGACAATAAATACAGAATGTAAAACAACCCATTATTATTGTATAGGGCAGTATTTTATAAACCCTGTTTATACAAATAGTAAATCAACCTTCAAAAGTATGCATAAGCACTACTACACCACACTGGCTAGCCATTTACTGGTTGGGGCACTGCTGTTCAACATCATGTTTCACTTAATTATACCCTCCTTAAACAATTTTCAAAATAGCTTGCAATGAAACCCAAAACATATTCTATCCCGTGATAATCCAACACACTGGAAACAAGCCAGCTTCCTCTAGAAATTGTTGGAAAATATGAAAATTAAGTATGCAAGAAAAATTAATGTCATCTGAGGCAGAAGAGTTACATGTAGTTAATACTGAACCAGTAATTTGTTCTAAGTACCAAAGATAAACTGGGTCACAGTGGCATCAAAAAGAAATGCCCGGCTCATTGCCTCATGCTTTCAATAGTGGAATTAAGTCTGATGGGGAATCATTTTGTTGCTAACATAATCAGTTGTTTTTTCATGTATTTAAATCCTTGGCTAACCCGTTTTGAATGACCAATCAATCAGGCAGGCGTGCAGCTGATCACTAAAACATCCTGCATGGGCCGGAGGCTGGACGAGATGACCCTTGAGATCCAAGACATGATAGTTCTTTGACTCTATGAATCTGCATCCCTGTGAGAGCCGGGCCTCCTCATCAGTCATAAAGGAATGGACTTTGATTTCTTTTAGGGTTGGTTCAAGACTTGCAAATATAGTACTAAAAGCACTGAGGTGTGTGGTTAATACTTTTTAAAAAGCACTGTTTGCTGATCTAGTTTCAGGACCCATGGGAAGGCAACACTTTTAGTAAGACCAATCAGAAATATGCAGACGTTTGTCCATATTTTATTATTGTTATTATTATTATTATAAAATAGAAACACATCCTGGGAAGCCAGAAGGTGGTGCCAGAACACAACTTTCTTAAACAAGAAGGGCAGCCAGAGAGGGCCCTATTTACATGCTTCTTGAGAACCCTTACAGTTCCTCAAAAACTTATCAGAGTCCTCAGGGGGAAAAAAAACAAGCAATAAAATCTTCAAAGGTAGGGCAACGTGAAACGTATGGCACAAAAAAACCCCAATTTTTCTTTTACATGCTTTCTGTCACACCTCGGGCTTCTTAACACACAGGATGCCTGCCTGCAGAACATCCAGAGCAAATCTGGCATTTCGAGGTACTGTACAGTCCTGACATCATCCAAGCCTGTTGTTCTTTTCAGCAATTCAGTAGCACAAAGGAAGCTCATATTCTATGATAAGGAGTGAGGTGAGGGGGTGGCACAGGTTAAACTGCAGTATTTGCTTGCTTGGGGTAGAAGTTAATTCAGTAGCACAAAGGAAGCTCATATTCTATGATAAGGAGTGAGGTGGGGGTGGCACAGGTTAAACTGCAGTACAGTATTTGCTTGCTTGGGGTAGAAGTTAAGGTAGACCAAAGGTGTTCAGTGGTTCTGCATTTTGAGTGAACTTCTTAATTCTGTTTATTTAATTTTTTAGCTCTTAATACTGCTTTTAATACTGGAAGTTGCTTTGGGTTCTTTTCAGGAGAAAGGCAAGGTCTAAATATTTTAAATGCATAAATAATAAACAAGGAAATAAAGGTGGAGTTGGTCTGCCCTCTAAATAGGTAGACCAAAGGTGTTCAGTGGTTCTGCATTTTGAGTGAACTTCTTAATTCTGTTTATTTAATTTTTTAGCTCTTAATACTGCTTTTAATACTGGAAGTTGCTTTGGGTTCTTTTCAGGAGAAAGGCAAGGTCTAAATATTTTAAATGCATAAATAATAAACAAGGAAATAAAGGTGGAGTTGGTCTGCCCTCTAAATTTCTTTATTCTGAATGCATACTCTCAGCTTAAGTGTATTGCCTTAATCTTCTCTCTCTCTTTTCTAAATGTTCTTGCGTTCAGTGATGGTTTCTAAAAAGAGTCACTAGTGATTGGGTTGAGAAGGATTTCTTTTCCCGCCAGAGATGCCTGCCCCTTTGTTTGGGGCAGGCCTGGGCGGGAGGGGGGAGTCAACGCAGTGTTCCCAAGGGCCCCTCCATCATCATCCTCAAGCAGAGCGACCGCAGAGCATACATGGGCACCTTTGCACAGCACAGGGCGGACGATTATCGTCTATGTGTGTGTAAGAGAGGAGGGGGAAGAGATCAAGCCCTGTGTCGCCCCTTCCTCTGCTGGCAAAAAGGCGGGGGGGGGCTTTCCGTCGGTGGGGATTCCCTCTGCGGAGGGGCAGGGACCCGTCATCCTCGTCTGACCTGGAAAAGCCGCTCCATCCGCCAGGCCAGGCTGGGCCCCAGAGCGCGGGAGCGCGCGAGGGGAGGGGAGGGGAGGGGAGGGGGCGCGCGCGCGCTCGCACATCTGCAGCCCCCCTTGCTTGCTTGCTTGCTTGCGCGCTCGGGAGGCCGCCTCCTCGCCTCCCTTCTCTCTCCTTCCACCCCCGTCCGGAGGAAGCCGCGCCTCCCCGACCAAGGGAAAGGGGCAGAAGAGGAAAAGGACCCGGGAAGGCTGCCTCTCTCCCTCTCCCTCTCGCCCGCCTTGGTCCCCAGCCCGCCGCCCGCCGGCTCCGGGAGCTGCGGGACTCCAGCAGAAGCGCTTTCAGCACCAGGGGCGGTGGACAGTTCCCGGCGCGGCGGCAGGCGTCCTTGGCAGGAGGGCGCGGCGCCTCCGGC